TGATACCAAACTGTCGAGAGACCAAATTTGGCTGATAAGCAATCAGGCTCAGATGATTCTTGGAACTCTTAAAGCGCAATGGCATTATCCTGGGAGTGAGAAATGCTTCCCACAATGTTGTGTGCTCTTCGAGATGAGGATCCTCTGATGACTTGGGATGGGGCCTGGTGAACCACCCTGGACCAAACTTTCGACGGGCGAAAGGAGCCATGGTCGAGGTAAATTCTTTCCTCCCTGCAAACATCAAAACGAAGTTTGTAAAGGTCTGTTGGAGTTCCAGCCCATCCTCAGTGGGAGTCAGTAAAGCCAGCCTGGTACCTTCGATATGCCTTTTGGCTATCTCAGGAGCTTGTTCGCTTATTTGAGTTTTCTGAGGTAAAAAAGACTCAAAAGTGGCGTTTAGCCATAGTTGTAGTAGCCAGAAGGGTCCTGCAAGCAGCAAGCTGGCTCTATTTTCTATTACCTTTAATAGAGTCGCCCCACTGCTTATCGACTCATATAGGTTCGCCAGTATTAATTCGGCCAAACAGATGTTTTGACCGTGGTGAAGCTGGGTAGCAAGGGTGACCATTTTCTTCGTCACCTGTAGAGATTTCGTGCAGAACACGAAGCGTGACAACCAAAGGGCTAGAAACGCAATGTGCTCCACGTCCGTCACCTTAGTTGTCGATTTGTCATGATAGTGGTTGGTGTAGGTGGTGTAAGTGGGTTTGGTAGCTGAAAACCCAATCTGGTCTTCAGACATTTCCTCTAGGTCAAAGTAATCCCCAGTTGGTCGAAGACCGGTAATGGCAGCCACGTCGAAGAGAGTGGGTGTTACCATTCCACAAGGCAGGTGGAAGGTGAAGTGAGTATAGTCCCAAAATAGCAAAGAAGCTACCAGCATTTCAGGGGAGTAGTTGAGACCAGTCTTCGACAGCATGACTAGGTCATAAATCCCCATGTTCTTCCAAATCGAAGCCTGGCTTTTTTCCATCTTGTCGAGCCAAGCGTTGTAGTCTGGTGTAAGGCTAGGGCTAGACCTAAAACCCCTAACCCATCTGTTGAAGAAACGAAGATCTATCTTTTCTTTTGCAGGATCTTCGTTGTCGTCTGTAGCCTTTTTGGAGCACCCAACGGGCTTGAGTGCCTCAAGAACTGGGAAGAAGCTCTTGATCTTCGTTGGGTCAGCAATGCATGCAGATAGAGGACCAGACATGGCGAAAACCTGGTTGGAGTATCCAACAGGAATCAGCAGTTGAGAAGAGTAAGTCTCACGCTCAGCAGTTCCCAAGGGTTCAGGAACCCTTCGCATTCCTTTGGAGTTAACTGTTGGAACAGTTGAAAAGATTTTCGGTTGGGCAGTTTTAGAAGGAGTGTTAGAACTGGGGACATTGGAAGAACGAGAACCTGAAGCCATTTTTTGGGTTGAGATGAAGATGGATGAAGAACAAAGTTTTTTGCAGAAATTTCTGTTCAATATTAAGGCTTGGATGAAGAAAGCGTGAAAAGTCCCACGAGGGGCACTTAGCGCTATTTATAGTGATTGGAAAATCACAAAACTCGAGGTCATTTAATGTTTAAGACAATAGTGGGGCACGTGGCGCTCATTTGGTGATGTAGTCGTTCTGCAGAACGGAAACGGTGCAGCGTGCGTCCTCGATTTCGGGGAATTGTCATGATGACAATCTGTGAAAAGACATTGGGCATGCCAAACGCCTTACTGAAGTGACGTCTTAGGAACAGTTGGAATGATGTCTTTTTGGGATTGTCAGTTGGTTGGTAGGAGATGAAAAGCGCACGAGCTAATCTGTGGCTAAGAATGAAGGACAAGTGTCGGGTGGAATCTCAAAGAATGCCTTTTTCTTTTCAGCTTCGAAATAAGGCATTCTTGGGGGGCAATTTGTTGGCTCCTAAATTCGACACCCTTGTTTGTTATCAATATAGACCATTAATTATGAGTTTGAAGAGTTTCCAGGTTTCGACCAGCTGATCCTGTCGAATGCTCATCATAAAATGGCAAGGTACTTAGAGAGTTTCTTTTAAGTGGGAATCTTGTTACCTTCGACGTCGAAGGAACTTCTCGACAAAGGTATCTGATGCCCAGGGTGGAACAGTTTGAGATTCGAATGTTTGGAGGGAAAACAGTTCCCAGCAGTTACCAAACGCAACGTGCCAAGATCAGGAGCGTCGAATGCTGTGAGCGTGCTGTGTGGTGTCATCTCGAAGCGACGTAACTGCCCAACGGTTACTTAAGATGTGTTTTAGTATAAATACTAGTTGTTCACGTATTTTTCGGGTGTGTTCATCATTATATACAAGTCACTCATCTAGATTCAAGTACCCAGTGTGAGCGAAAGAATTGTTGAGAATGTATGTGTGAAATACCATTTAAATTAATCAAAGTCTTTTATATTCAAGCACTTTATTGCCTTTCATTTACTCATCTCCGTCGAAGCCTTTTATTTAACGCTTTCATTTATTCTATCAAGCTTTTCTTCATGCAATTTACATAAAGTGTCTTTACTTTACTGGCATTAATCATCATTAGATTTAGTCAAACCCCAGAAAATCAACCATGTCTTAGAATCAATCTGATCGATCCTGCGAGTCACCAAATAAGTAACCTTTTGGAAGATCAGCGGTTGTTTACCAATTTCCACGGTAAACAAACTTCCATATGCTTCATAAGTTTTTCCCCAATTAAAGATCATTTTGAAGGGAATTCAATTCTATACAACTTTGTCTCTCTAAGTTCAAGTCCAAAAATGCATCATTTGAGAGATATAAGCCAATACATTACAAGTTATTTCAAAAGTTAACAAAATGAAACTTTTTGTCAAGGCAACTTACATCAGAATAAAGTCTTCAAAAGCAAAAATGATCAACATAGAGGTTGTAGAGGACATCTTGGGCTTTCCAAAAAGTCAAATATCACTTTCAAAATATAAAAATTGAGTGAATTATGACCATTGCAAGTTGGAAAATTTTGAGCAAATGTATGAAGTTCGAATTGAGCAAGCTTGATATTTTAGACTATTGGGCCATGGTTTTAAGGTTCAAACACGTGTTATACTCTCCATACACATCAGAATTCATTCATACACCCTTTGGACTTGTTTTATTTAAACTATTTTTGATTTAATTCATTGACAATATAAAATAAAATAAGATAAAATTATATCTTACTACAAGAGTCTAAGCCCATTTGTTTTTGCCCTAAATTTCTCTATATATTCAGACATCAAGACAAGAAGAAAAGACACAAAATCCTTGCCTCTCAATATTGTCAAAAATAGCAAGTTTTTCTCAAGTACCCTAAGTCTTGAAAACCCTATTCTCGAGCCTCCTCACCACCAAACCTCCATTCCATTCACTTCCAGAAACATTGAAGGGTAAGATTGGATCGGTTACCATGATCCAAAGGACCTGAACCAGCATACATGCACCATCATTTTTCATTATTTCATGATTTTTGTATTTTTGTTTTTCATGATGTTTTAACACACACTAATGCCACTAACATGCTCTTGAGATGCTAACGTGCAGGTTCGAATTATCGCATGAGTCCCATGCTATCTGAATCATGAATGGCCATGATCAAACTGATTCATGTTATGTTTAGCATACCTCACAAACTAGGACAATTAGCCTTCAAAAATGCCCCCATTGTATTCACAATCTCTGTTTTAAGGGGTATGACATTGTTGGATCATTAATGTTTTGTTTTTTACAGGTTTTAAAAAACAGGTTGCCGGAGAAGGCGTCCGGAGCTAGGGCTCCAACGCTTCTCCTGCCAATGTATTTGTTTATATATTATATATTAATAGTTCAATGATATAAACGGATGAAACAACCACTCCAGTGGCAGAAGCGCGCGCGATAAAGCATTAGTCTCAAAGGGCCTGGATTCGATCCAGCCTTTTGACGTTTTATTTCTCTAATTTCTCATATTTTTGCAGGTTGATTACAAAGCATGTTGGAGGCGTTACCTTGACACCAAGGCGCACTTGGCTTGGTGGTATGCATGCTGCATGAAGGTTTTGGGAGGCATGAGTTCAACACTCATCTCCAACATTCTTTTTCTCTATTTTTTACTAACATTGTTTTCTCTTTTCACTTTAACCCTAATTATTTTTAATAAACCCTAATTATTTTTTAATCAACATTAAAAAAATTAGGTTTAGTTTCTTTCTCATAAAATAATTTTGATTTTTTATTTATTAAATTAATTAGGATAATTAATTTAATTATCTAACTTTTTTCGATTAATTAAAATCAATTAGACTTTAGGTTAATCATCAAGTTTTTCTTTCATTGAACAATTTTCTCTTTTTTTACAATATTCGCGTGCTCTTTATTATTTCCGCATCTAGTATTTTCCCCAATTACTAAAGGGTTGTAATAGTTTTAATTAGGATTTTACCTTTCTTTTTCCCCGATTTTGTGATTTTGTACCCCCTTTCCTTGAAATTTTATAATAGCGTAAGACTTTTAATTGCTGCCTTTATTGTTACCCTAGAGATGAGTGTGTGAAAGACAGAAAACTCTTTAACCGTGTGATAACCTATTTAATTAGTGAGGGACCTTAAACATCATTATATATTAGAGATTGTAATTACCTTTTAAGTCCTTGCAAATCTATATTAAAATTAATTTTAGTTGATTACTAAGTAATTATGATAATAATAGATTATTCTCCTTAATAATTACTACGATTATTCTCTTTTGCGCCCCTAATCGTGGGATTTATAGAAGAAACGACGTCGTTAACTAGAGACACTGTTACTCACTGCTACTAGTTTCTCTACCAAGGTTTCTTATTTCATCTCCGATCTCTAAACCCAATTTCTGTATATCTTCCTCAGTCTCGTTCTCATCATCTCGTAAGCAATTTCTTCCTTTTCCGTTTGAATACTTATCGTTCCTGAATCATCTCTACTTTCAAACCAAACCCTGATTCCCAAATTAGGTTTGATTTGATTTGATTTACCTGTGTTTTCTGCTGCAGATTATTTTCCATGGCTAAGAGCTCATTCAAGACGGAACACCCACTTGGTTCGTTTCTCTGAATAAACTGTTTTTTCTTGTTCGGTGACTTGTGTCCAACATATGTTTTCTAATTTAATGCCAGAAAGGAGGCAGGCTGAAGCAGCTCGCATAAGAGAGAAGTATCCTGATAGAATTCCAGTAAGACTTTCTTCCTACAACGTGCATATACCATCGTAATCGCATTCACTGCTTACTAATCTTGTTCGTCTTTTCGCCTAGGTAATTGTTGAAAGGGCACACAAGACTGATGTTCCTGAAATTGATAAGAAAAAGTTAGTTTCTTTTTTATTCTTTGGAAACTTCAAATCTATATATAAATGTTCCTGACAGTAGGTTTTCATTGAGGCTTTGGTGTATATTATTGTTCCATTTTTTGGATGAATATAGGTATCTTGTTCCTGCTGATTTGACTGTTGGCCAGTTTGTGTACGTGGTGCGAAAGAGAATCAAGCTGAGTCCGGAGAAAGCCATCTTCATTTTTGTCAAGAACATCTTACCACCAACCGGTAATGTATAAGAATTTTGTATGCGTTGGTGTGTATATATATATATTGTTAAAATCTGATTTTGTTTTTGTGTAATTATGTTTGTGCAGCGGCTATGATGTCTGCAATTTATGAAGAAAATAAAGATGAAGATGGATTTCTTTATATGACTTACAGTGGGGAGAACACCTTTGGAATGATGATGGTCTGAAGTAATCCAATGCAGGCAAACATGTGAGTAGAACTTTCTGAAAAATGGCCATTATGAACAAGTGATCTTAATTGTAAATTCTGCTGTTTGATCTGTTTCTTTAAAAGTTTATCACCTGATCTATGACAATCTTTAATCTTTATGTGTATTGGATGGAACTTATTTTGCATCTGCCTTGTGTTTATCTAAAAATAGTTTCTAAGTTTCGTTCATTTTCATTGTTATATAGTTGTTTTTATTTGTTCAAAACTTGTTATATAGTAAATGCCGGGAACATCGGTTTGGAGACTGGTGGAAACTCTGAATTTTTTATGGAGGTTAATGTTTTTATTTTTTTACGGAGGTTAAGTTGTGTACTAGTTTGATCGATATAATGCGCCAGACCTTTTCTCTTCTTCATTTCATAAAGTTTCTTCTTACATTCTCTAAGTTTTTTAGTTTTTTTTGTGTTGCGTGGTGCATTGGTTTGAAGTTAATTGCATAATAGGTTGTTTAGTGAGACATGGATGTAGATTGTTTGAAGGTTGAAGTTAGAGCACTTCGACAACACTGTGTTTGTAATTTCACAAAAATCACACTCTAGATTATGAAATTTACTAGAGTTGTATTTTGAAAAAGAGATGACAAATGAATCTATGTGCTTGAGATTAAGCACAAAAATCAATACTACAAAATATATCTACGGTTGCGATGAATATATATTACCACGACCACCTATTCACTAGGGTAATATCTTAATTTTACGTGCATTATTTTATTTTATTTTATTTTATTTCATCACGATTTTTAAACCCAACCGTGGTCATAAAAATTGGGTGACAAGCTTCGGACCCCAACAATAATATTTTTTTCATTTTTACAGTTAAAGTTAAAGTAAGCGTGCGTCTCTTAACATTTTGTTTTATTTAAAAATTGAAAGCTTAACAATTACGACTGTTTTATTAAACTGAATTTATAAGTTTCATATATCACTATAGTTGAACTTTGTAACTGTTGTGAAATTGTTTCTCACAAAATAAAAAGATAGCAGGTACTTTATTTCGTTCATACCACACAGGGGTGTCCTAGCGAATGAGACGGTAGGGATATTGAAATCTTCACCATCCTCTTCGAATATCATTTATGATAAGTCACCATTCTCTTTCTCTGATGCTTATGAATGTTTAGGATTACCGCATCTGTTAATGTTCTTATGAATTTGTATTTTTCATGTTTATAATTACCTCGTTCATAACCATAGGATGAAAGCTGATATATTAGTGTATATAGAAAGTCATAGATTTTGTGTGAATCATCAATGTGGTTTTATGATTCGTTTTGTGTGAATAATTAATGTGGTTTTGTGAATCATTAGTGTATATTAGTGTAAATTAGAAAGCGTTTTTGTTCTTATGAATCGTTTGGATTTATTCATATTTTATATATGAGAAAGCCCCAGAGTATACGTTGTAACACACTTCTAAATCCACATATAATTCGCATATATTTTACGCAAATAAATCAAATAAAATCATCAACAAGGGTGTCACATCTTCATAAAAGCATCATATAAAACATCCTGCTCCGTAACACGGGTTTTTAAAACATCTAAAACAACTATTTCTTTAGTGTCATCAAATATCAAGATTCAAATCATCGCAGCAGAATCATAGTCTCAAAACATCTTCATTAAAAACACTTCAAAGAAACTTCATCATACTTTATCGTTCAACATTCATAATTCAGAACAATTTAAATACCAAGAAAGATAATTCATCATCTCAAAATAAAAAAAAAGTATAATAGTTTCAAAACAAACATTCTCAACCCTGATGTTACATATCAGAGAAAGACTCTTTTATTCAACATAAATAAATGACGCACTCCGAAGCTATCCTCTAAGCTTTAACGAACTAATCCTGATCACCTGCAAGTTACCCATGTATAGAGGTAACATTTCCAATCAGAAAGGGTGAGTAATCATAATCATTATAAAAGACATAAGGAATAAATATAGTAGTATAGCACAATAGCAAGACACCATATAACACCCCAACTTTTAGAAGTTATTTATTTAATGAATTATTAGGAGTATTTACGAATAATTGAAGTTTTATATGATTATATGTGTGATGTATTGACACGTGGATGCTTATGATGTGGAACATGTGATGTGAATGAAGGGATTAGATGCATTGAAATAATTAGATGATTATTTAGTAATTATTTGGATTATTATTTAGAATAGAATAATAGGAATAATTATTTAAATAGAATTGTTTTAGTTAGAGTGGTGTGTTGGTAATTAGTAGGAATAGTGAGGACGTTATGGTAAATAGAGGTTGACTAAATGAGGGAAATTAAGGAAGATGTTAGGGGTCCTTGTGATTACAAAGGAAAAGATAATCGTATTTTCACAATCGATCGTGAAAATTTGAGAAAGAGAACTGACATTGTGGAGAAAAGTGAAGCTAGGGCACAAAGGGTTGGAGAATCACCGTAAAAGGCATGAAGAATAAAATCAATCACTCGAAACAATAAGTTAAAGGGTTTTTATCTGGTTATTATGTTTAATCTAAGTGGTAGATAAATGTAGGATCTTGCCTTAGATATTGATAATGGTTATTTGATGTTGTTGTGGTGAAGAATTAATAGAATTATGATGAATCTTGACCCGTAATTGTGATATAATTGATGTAGTATATCAAATTGTTGTTAGGCGATGATTCTCTATGATTAGATAGTGTTTTAGGACCTGCCACATGATAAAACCACAGGGAAAATTAGTCTGATGCAGTGCAGAATCACAAATAGGAAAACCTTGTTCGTAGAGGATCGTCGGGCGACGGGTCCTGTGTTGTCGGGCGACAGTGTTTCGCCAGGTGAAGGTGAGACGAGCCAAGGAAGGAAAATAGGGTGTTGGTCTTTGTAATGTGTCGCCGACGATGGATAGGTTTCGCCGGGCGATGGTTGGCAGAAGTGGAAGGTTTAACTGAAATCTTGAAATAGACATAACTTTAGTTCTAGAGCTCAGAATGGAGTTTCGTTCGAAGCTGCGCGTAGCTAACGTAGTATGATATAATTAGATGAAATAAAATGAAGACCTAGGAGTATTTTTATAATACCTAAGTTAGAGTAAGAATAGGTTCCCCGTATTGAATCGCAATGACGAATTGTTTAACTATGATGATATGTTGCTATTATGATTATGTGATGACGTTATGACGATGTTTTGATTATATGAGTATATATGATGATTACATAAGTATACATGATGATGTTTTATGTATGATGTTGATTAATACATGAATGATGATGCGTATGACTAGTTGTGGTCGTTTATATTTGTTGTTGTGCATCATGCATTCATGGGACAACTTTGGTCTATTTTGATGAATTAGGACGATGGTTCAGTGATTTGGTCTCAATATCATTGCATGGATTTGGGATGCCTATGATTTGCTCCGGTTCCAAGTGAGAATCGATCCTATGATTGGGGTCTTTGGAGGGTGATGGCTCAGTGTCCATCAAGAAGAATTGGTACCACTTGCATGAGTCTTTGTCCTTGCACTACATCTTATGTGCCATTGCATGGTTCTTAATTTGATGATGTTGTATTGTGTTGATTGAGCTTGGAAGATGAATTTGTTGAATCGATTATGGTGATACTTTTTGTTTATTCTGCTATATCTATTACTTATGTCTTATATAATGATTGTGATAAACTCACCCTTTCGGCTTGAATGTTGCCTCTACGTGGGTAACGTGCAAGTAATCACGAGTAGTCCCTAGAGGCTGGGAAGAATAGCTTTGGAGTGTGATTTATTTCCGTTGATTCTAGAAGGTCTTGCTCTGATATGTAACATTGGGGACGGGAACACTTTGTTTTGAAAACTATTTTGTTCTTGTTTTGTCATGACATTTAAATTATTTCCATGGAGTTTAAATTATGTTGAATTGTGAACCATGAATCATGGGGCACTATGAAGTGTTTTTAATGAAACTTGTTTGAACTATGATTTTGCTGCAAGTATATGAAACATTGATAATGCACATGTCACGAATAATTTTGAAAACCCGTGTTACGGAGTAAGCCTAGCACGTATGATTATTTCACGAATAAAATGTGACGCCCTTTTGTTGTATTACTCTGATATTATTTTAAGTAATCATGAATATTCCATTGGGTTTAGAAGGGTGTTACACACCATACATCGTCAAAACTTCATGTTATACTCACACCTTCAGTTCATTTTTTATTCATAACAGCATCATATCATCAGTCAATAATCATCACCAAGACATCATTAGTTAACACATTCACAAAGCATCACTTAATTAATCATTATGTAATGCCACAAAGAATGTAATGAAACTTCATTAGACTCATGCATGTGGTACCAAAACTTCACTAATGACTCAGTCATCTTTTCTCCAAAGATCTCCACCAATAGGACCGGTCTCCGCTTGGAACCGGAGCACATCATAAAATTGCACTCAACCCACACCATGGGATTGAGGCCATCACTAGACTAATCGCCTATAAACTTCACTGGAACAATGTCCTGCAAACATCACTGAACTATTCATCCTATAATATGCCATTAGTGCATGATGCATAACAATACAATAAACAACACGACCACATATAGTCAACACACATCATCATTAATGTACTCATCATATTCTTATCACATGCTTCATAATACACACACCCTCATAACAACATCAATTCATCATAGAATACAAGTCAAATTACAACAAGACATGGTTACACCAATTCACAATAGAAAGCACACGTACTAATATATCAACACATAATCTTATCATCTCATCATAACGCAATCACTAGAAAACTACATCATATTGAAATTTTGGCTATCAGATCCCGGATGTCCTAAGAGATGTCGAGACACCTGATCTGACTTCACAAACAACATCAAGATGGATAAACAAAAATAGTAGTGTTAAAAGTAAATAACACAGGATATGTTTACCCAGTTCGGAATAACCTTCCTACT